GTATTCCAAAATTAATGGTAAGCTGCTATAAAGAAAGAATTATATTATATAGTAAAAACAAGAGCTAACCACACAGTTGACATGATGATGACAGAAGACATAGACACTTGCCAACTGAAACAGATTGCGCAGAACAGGTTTAACAGACAGAGAAAAGGAACAAAGTTGTTTCCATTATAATGGGCACAATGGCATAAGGTTCTAATGTAATATCTTCTGTTTTATTAGTGTTAAGTTTTAAACAGTTATCTGCCATCCAATCGTCAATAGTGCCAACACAGCTCAGTAGAGTTGACCGTTTGGAGACATTTTGAGATGTAGAAGATATACAGTGGGTACGGAAAGTATTCAGACCCCTTTACATTTTTCACTCTTTGTTTCATTGCAGCCATTTGCTAAAATCAAAAAAGTTCATTTTATTTCTCATTAATGTACACTCAGCACCCCATCTTGACAGAAATGACAGAAATGTAGAAATTTTTGCAAATTTATTAAAAAAGAAAAACTGAAATATCACATGGTCATAAGTATTCAGACCTTTTGCTGTGACACTCATATTTAACTCACATGCTGTCCATTTCTTCTGATCCTCCTTGAGATGGTTCTGCTCCTTCATTGGAGTCCAGCTGTGTTTAATTAAACTGATTGGACTTGATTAGGAAAGGCACACACCTGTCTATATAAGACCTTACAGCTCACAGTGCATGTCAGAGCAAATGAGAATCATGAGGTCGAAGGAACTGCCCAAGGAGCTCAGAGACAGAATTGTGGCAAGGCACAGATCTGGCCAAGGTTACAAAAGAATTTCTGCAGCACTCAAGGTTCCTAAGAGCACAGTGGCCTTCATAATCCTTAAATGGAAGAAGTTTGGGACGACTAGAACTCTTCCTAGACCTGGCCATCCAGCCAAACTGAGCAATCGTGGGAGAAGAGCCTTAGTGAGAGAGGTAAAAAAGAACCCAAAGATCACTGTGGCTGAGCTCCAGAGATGCAGTAGGGAGATGGGAGAAAGTTCCACAAAGTCAACTATCACTGCAGCCCTCCACCAGTCGGGGCTTTATGGCAGAGTGACCCGACGGAAGCCTCTCCTCAGTGCAAGACATATGAAAGCCTGCATAGAGTTTGCCAAAAAACACATGAAGGATTCCCAGACTATGAGAAAGAAGATTCTCTGGTCTGATGAGACCAAGATTGAACTTTTTGGCTTGAATTCTAAGCGGTATGTGTGGAGAAAACCAGGCACTGCTCATCACCTGCCCAATACAATCCCAACAGTGAAACATGGTGGTGGCAGCATCATGCTATGGGGGTGTTTCTCAGCTGCAGGGACAGGACGACTGGTTGCAATTGAAGGAAAGATGAATGCGGCCAAGTACAGAGATATCCTGGAAGAAAACCTCTTCCAGAGTGCTCAGGACCAGACTGGGCCGAAGGTTCACCTTCCAACAAGACAATGACCCTAAGCACACAGCTAAAATAACAAAGGAGTGGCTTCGGAACAACTCTGTGACCATTCTTGACTGGCCCAGCCAGAGCCCTGACCTAAACCCAATTGAGCATCTCTGGAGAGACCTGAAAATGGCTGTCCACCAACGTTCATCATCCAACCTGACAGAACTGGAGAGGATCTGCAAGGAAGAATGGCAGAGGATCCCCAAATCCAGGTGTGAAAAACTTGTTGCATCATTCCCAAGAAGACTCATGGCTGTACTAGCTCAAAAGGGTGCTTCTACTCAATACTGAGCAAAGGGTCTGAATACTTATGACCATGTGATATTTCAGTTTTTCTTTTTTAATAAATTTGCAAAAATTTCTACATTTCTGTTTTTTTTCTGTCAAGATGGGGTGCTGAGTGTACATTAATGAGAAATAAAATGAACTTTTTTGATTTTAGCAAATGGCTGCAATGAAACAAAGAGTGAAAAATGTAAAGGGGTCTGAATACTTTCCGTAATTGAATGTCATCTGCATGACAGTTGCAGTAAATATATTTCAAGCTGTTTATTTATTATGTGCCTGAGTGGAAGCATGTGCAAGGCAAAAAAATATTGGGCCCAGGAAAGAACCTTGGGGAACACCACAAGCCAGGGATGAATGTCAGGAAGTATGTAACAGTCTTAACGAGTAAGAGGGGACCAGTCTAAAGCTGAACCAAAAATACCCACCCACTTGCTGAGTCTCTAAACAAATATACTGTGTTCCATGGTATTGAGAGCTGCACTGAGATCCAGCAAAACCAACAATTCACAGAAGAAACAGATTGCAGGGTGTTCCTCATGTACAGGTGTTCATCAGGTTTCATACAGAGATTAATCACGGTTACTCTGTGCATTTTAATAAGAAATACTGTGCTCATTGGTGCTGCTGAGTGGTGATCAGTAGTAGAATCACACGGGTGTCGCTTCATGTGACGCTACTGAGAAAATTACACCTTTTGTCTCTTAAAATGTATTTCCTCATTCCTTCTACTTATTCTTCTCTACATGCATCTCTGGTGGGAGGGACTAAGAACCAAGTGAAGGAATGTGAGGGATGTATTAAGAGACCTGGGATGTACCCAGTATGTCATTTTCACATTGCTCTTGTTAAGTCATGAAACTGCCTTTCAGCACCACCTTGTGGTAATTTTATTCAACTTTTTTTTATCTCAGGGATGCTCTGTGGAACTCGAACTGCGAAGAAAAAGAAGAAAAAAATGATGTACCTCACTTCCAAGAATGCAGGTCTTTATTAATCTTGATACAAATGTGTTTTTATACAAGAGATTTACTGTGAAGTTCTAAGTCTATTGCTGACTTTATGGCACTCATCCTGCATGTGTTGTCCTGAACAGAATTTGACCGTTATGAGCTGCAGATCTATGAGGAGGTAGCTAAGATGCCGCCTTTTCAGAGGAAAACGCTGATTCTGATTGGAGCTCAGGGAGTTGGGAGGCGAAGCCTGAAGAACAGACTCATTGTCTTGATCCCTTTGCGATACGGAACCACTGTACCCTGTGAGTGTGTGAGGTAGCTTAGGTCGTTACATTGTTCCATCAAGTAGATTTCCTGACTTGGTTACGTGACCCACCTTTCCTTATGTTGCGCTTCCAGTCACGTCACGACCTCCAAGGGAAGAGGAGAGAGACGGACAGAACTACTGCTTTGTGAAGCGGGAAGTGATGGAGAATGACATCAAGGAGAGCCGCTACCTGGAGCACGGTGAGTACGACGGCAACCTTTATGGCACCAAGATCGACTCCATCCATGAAGTAGTGGAATCAGGCCGGACCTGCATCCTGGACGTCAATCCTCAGGTTAGTCAAATGCACATGTTCTTAGTATGAATACTTTGTTTTTACTGCAAGCTTTGTCTATGATGTTACTTTCTCTGCTCAGGCCCTGAAATTGTTGAAGACTGCTGAGTTTATGCCATTTGTGGTGTTCATTGCTGCTCCTGAGCTGGACACACTAAGAGCTATGCACAAAGCTGTGATTGATGCTGGACTTAGTACGAAACTACTCACAGTAAGTTTTGAGAACTCCTGTTAATGATGATGGAACTTTCAGTGGTCATTACTCATGAAAGGTTGTTGCATGTTTTTTTTTTCTAATGAGCTGAATCCATCTGTAACAGGAGAACGATTTAAAGAAGACAGTGGATGAGAGTGCCAGGATCCGCCGTGCGTACAGCCACTACTTTGACCTCACTATTGTCAATGACAATCTAGACAAGGCCTTTGACACACTGCAGGAGGAGGTGGAGCGATTATTTGTAGAGCCACAGTGGGTTCCAGTCAACTGGGTCTACTGAGCTTCACCCTCAACTGGACATGCACAGCTGTCTGGAATGTCAGGGTGGATTCAACACACGGACAAAGTGTTGGACATCAGCCGTGTGTGAATTTGAGTCTTGCACAAAGCTGCATCAAAGCTAAGTCACCTTGATCTGAATAGCCAGATTCTTTTCTTAAAGCACACTATGCAACACACAACATACAGGAAGTGTACTTATTTATTGGCAAGATATTTTTATAGGATACATTCTATTCATGTGGATTTGAAGACAAATACTGGCCCCTATGTCGGTTTATTGAAAAGAAAATTCATTTTTTTGTCATGTCCAGGTTTTTTTTTTTTCAATCTCTATGTAAGATGGGTAAATTATATTTATTCTGCAAATATGAGGAGGGCTTGCTCATTGAAAAGAACAATACCTCAGTGTTACCGTTTACAGTACATATGCCTCCAGTAATTCATCTCGTGTTGTCATTAATATACAAGCTGTCTTTTCAAACTTCTCTCATTCACGTACAATAGTGTGATAATAATATTGTCTCCTTTTTATCCTCAGGGCTTAAGTAATGCTTTGAGTCTTTGCAGTTCAACCTCATTAATGGGAAATGGCCAGTTACAGTTTGATGATATACAGAAGAAGTAGTAGTGTAGTGTTAACCCAAAGTATGTCTCTCTTTCTCTCACTCAAGCACAACACATAACTTTTTTTTTTGTTGTTTGTCAGACTTTAGAATCATGTGAGTGTCTCTGACTGCTCAACCCATCGTGGTGCTGCGTTTGTGTTTGTTTGGAAAAAAGAAAAACTTTCCACAGGACTCGTTAACAGGGTACTGCATCTCAGAACCATCCCTTCTTGATGTGACGTAACTAAAACTGAACCGTTTTAAAGAGTTCCATTCATATTAACTTAATGAAGAAGTATTTTAAGAGACGTCGGGTAAGATGTATTTTCAAATGTCAAATAAATAACTGGTGTTTTGTAATGATCTGCTTTGAGCTGGTTTTGTTTTCATATGGACTTCATCACTTGACAATCATGTCCCGTGTGGGATTGCTAACCGGCAAGGAAATATAGTCAACAACACTTGTAGGACATCGTTTATCTTTTCGTAGCATCGAGACTTCACCACAGACACAGAGAGAAATGTGCACAGTTGATCTATTTCCTGTATTGTAAACTTTGTTCCCCCCCATTCTCAAAGTATAAAACCAGAGACAACACTCAACAATTAAAGACCCCTCCAAACTTTAATATCAAATGGCATTAATACATAAAAGTTTTTCACATTGAGGTTTGTTGTTGGAACTCTTCACAGATCAATTTCTTTATAGGTACTATGGTTTTGTAAGACTTCCAAACCATTGACTATTTTGTAAAACAAAAAAAAAGCTTAGTTATTAAAGACCAACATTTTTATTTAAAAAGATTGAAAACACAAGATATCGCACAGCTTGAGAGTTGGATTGTTATTATTATATTTAATTACTATTTGTTTGTTTTTAAAGATGATTATTTAAAAATCATACTGAAATGAAAATGCAAATATGCAAAACAAGGAAAAACAATATGCAAGGTAGTCGTCACCCGTAACATTTCCTTCTTTGGCATCACCTTTAATAGAGCGATCAGAACCAGGTGCCTGTTTCATTTATTTCTAGACAAGAAATGTCATTGCTGATGCCACCTGTAGATACCCGTTAAAACTTCAAGTCCAATTTGCTTATTTAATTCTGGGTGAATCCCTTCATTATTCTATTAATTTTTAAATGTGATTTTTTGACATAAAGATAAAAAAATATTGATTAAGGTTTCTCAAACCCCAAGATAAAGTCACTGAGTATCTTATTTAGTCCACAATTTTTCTTAAATTACTCAAGCTGAATAAATGATCATAATAATGTAATTATTTTTGTAGTTGATGGCCAATCTATTGAGGCAGCTCAACATTGTTTGAAAAGAATCTATTTTTAATAGTTTAAACTTAATGTGAACAATCTTTGATTGGCTAAAAGGAACATTAGTAGGGTAAAAAAAACTCTAAATTCAAAATGTATTATTTTACAGTTAAAACAAACAATTTTACTTAAAAAGGACATTATGTCAGTGAAAACTCCCCCCCCCCCCCCCCCGAGAGCCTGAGATGATGTCTTTAAAATATTTATTTTGATTAAGAAACAGTCCAAATTTCAAACCCTAAAAGAAATCAATCTACTGATGACTTCAGCACCAGCACAGAGATGGGTTTTTAGAGAACTTCATAGTTTATTAAAATGAGTCAAAACACTGATAAAAGACTTTTACCTCTTTCCAATGTAGTACCATTTTTGGTGGAAAAATTGAATCTTAAGTTCAAGCTTCCTTGGCCAACGACGCAAGACCTTTAATAGCAATACACAGAACCAGAGGGCGGTGTCCTGGCTGTTGGTGTATTTCTGTCTTCATCTTGTCCCCATCTCTCTTCAGGGAAATGTTAGAAGAGGCAAATAGATAACTAGTCTTTGCATAGATGTCGTCTGTTAGTGCAGCTGCATCTGCGTTGCTCAAAGGTAACTCTCCATTCCCTGATACACAGTGTACCTGAAACAGGGACATAAAGAGAAGTGATATGTAGTAAAAACAGATATCACAAAACATGTTCTGATTGCATGCATGCTATTTTATAGAATCAGACTTTACTAACCAGTCGCTCCAGAGCCGGTAACCATGTGACACTGCAGCACATCCCCAAGATAGCATGGCATTCAAGTGACATCTCTGAAAGACAAAGACCCAAATATGGGAAATTAGGTTTTCAGGACATTGTGCAGGCAGCTCTGAAGCTTTAATAGAGTTTTTCTTCTACACAGATTCACTACACGTCAAGAGTGTAATAGAGGCTGTGGGGCTTTCTCACCATCAATGGCGCTGGTAATGAGGTGAAGGGCACTGAGGACAGATGTGGATGGGTTTGCCTGAGCTGACTCTGGCTGCTCCAAAAGGTCCAAGATTGCTTGGATGTTCTGGTTATAAGATTCTGAGGCTGTAGTCTCATCCAGGGCAGGTCTCTCATCCTTGCACTTCTGTTCCAGCTGAGGCAGAGGAAGACACCTGAGGTTTAACAGCTGCCGATAAGACAGAATGCACTATGACTGTATCTTTTGTTGACATGACCTCTTTCTGTCCATCTTACCACATGCTGAAGTGAACTGACAGCCTCTTTGTGTTCCATGACTTTAAGTAAGTGCTGGAGCAGAGAGGACCTTGTGACGGCCGGGAGAGCAGATAGAAGGCTGAAATGATCTCTCAGTCGCTCCAGCTCTGCAAGTGGAAAAATTTTAAAATACAAACTTTTTCATTTTTGTGTGCAGTTGGTCCCTAAAAATAGTTCAAAGTAAACAATTATTTAAAAGTGTGTCTATTCAAAAAAATATTAAGTTAATTTAATAACTTACCTTCTCTAAGGTGGTTATTTTCCGACGGGCTCAAAGGAACTTCTGAACCAAGCAACTGTGCTCCTCCAGCAGGGCCATCCACTTCAAAACCTCCTTTGGTGTCCGACATCAGACACAGCTCTTCGCAACAAAAACAATATGTTACAATTCCAATACTCAGGTATGAAATAAGACAACATTGGTAGTTTATTCAGGTATTATTTAAATCTTCAGAAGACTATCTAGTTAATGTATCAATTAAGAGAAGCAGTGCTCACCAAAGTGTCCATCCTGTCTGATTTCTAGCTCTATTTGGGCATAGGCGATGGTGGTATGGATGGGAATCTCCATGGTAATGTTACTGTCTTTACTCAAGCTCCCATTCTCCTTCAATGAAACCTGTAGATGTTTAAGATAAAGTTATAGAGGTTAGATGAAAACGAAGCAATCACTGATGCGTGACACATTTGCAGACTCTTTGGCTGCTCTGTCTGATTCCAAAGAAATGAAAAGACATAAAAATATAAATATTTTTAAATCAATCAAAAATGATTCCAACGCCCCATTTTCACTTCTTCATAACTGGAGAAAATATGACCCTGCTTCTTCTACATACTCAAATCTAGCTCACAGTTCAAGCAGTAAACAAAAAGTGAGATAACACACTCAATGTCTTGCTGGTATACTGAATATATAGCAAAGCTGTGGCCTGATAAAAAACTATCTCAGACGTGCTGATATTCAGTACAAAAAACATGACCTCAACATGACATGACCTGTGTTATAGAACAGTTCTACAACCAAACAGTAAAAAAGGAATGAGTGACATCAGATGACGTAATTATTTTTAATGTTTCACCAACTAAACCAGCTCCTCAACTTTACTGCAACTGGACGGTTGACAAGAAATGAATAAACATTTGTCCCTGTGCTCTTGCTGCTTAGAGTGTCTACACTTTACAACACACCAGCCACTCTGGGTTTTGAAACTGTATCTGTTTATTTCCATTTTTCTTGCAACCACGAAAACAGGTTTATTTCGACTGTGGGATTCAGAGTAACCTGCTTGATCAACAGACAGATACATATGGTAAACAGTCTTAGAAGTGTTGTAGTAATGTGTTGGTCAGAACTAACTTTTTTTATAAAGGCAGAATATGATACCTTATCGCTCCTGGATGTATGTGTTGCTAACAGTGAAAGAATGTTTAGTAACACATTATTATAAGGATCATCAAATCATTTCACAGCTGTACCTTTGGGCTCTTGGGCCCACAGAAGCTCAGTCCTCCTCCACATTGCCCCGCCTGCTGCACCTCCTCTATGACCGAGCAAGGCTGGGTGGTGGAAATACGCTCCTTTACAACTCCAAACACCTGCCTGCGCTTCTCCATCGTCTGATGTACCAGACTATGGGACATGTCCAAGAGCCTGACACATTCAATTGAAAAAAAAAAAACACCAGAGTTTCATGGGAAAAAAATATTGTGGACATGACATTAATATTAATAAAATGAGTACATCATTTAAAACAAACCCTAACATTAACCCCAAAAACTGTAAACAAGCTGCTTTTTGTGAGTGTTAATATTCAACCAAGCCGCCTGTCCTGTATGCATTTTTATGGTTGGACAAAGATCACTCCAACTGTTAGCACATCTTTATGTAAGGTGATGTTTGCAATGTGTTTCCGTTCATTTTAACCCCGTCAGGTGGAAACAGGTGGGGAACCAACCTGCCTCTGGAGTCTCGCAGCAGTTTCTGAACGTCCACTTCCTCTTTCTTCAAGCTGCCAAAGGATGACTGGAGTTTTGAAGAGTCTTTACCCTCCAGTTTCAAACTGTGGCCATCCAAAATGTTTGCATCCAAGGATCCCTGAATGTTGTCACCAAATGTCCCGTTGTATTTGATGAAGTCTGTCTCTATGCCAACTGTGTAAAAGTGACAGGATTATTTATTAATCAGTGCACTGTAACAAATCAGGTTATAGCTCAAGCATGTGACAGAGAGGGTTTGATGTTTACCAGGCGTTATAGGTGTGCCTTCTGTAAGCAGATCATTGAGGTTAAAATCCGTGGGGATATACTTGGGCCTCTGCCACATCCAGAAACGCTTGCGCTTCACCACAACTGTCAGAAGATTAATAGTGTCATTCAGGGAGGACACCGGGATCAGCGAGCCTCCATGATCCACCTCCTCCACAAAGTTTCGAGCAGCTGTGGCAAACATCTCGCAGCTGGATAAAACCTGTGAAGAAGCCAGAAGACAAAGAGAAGAGGATTTGTCCACTGACGACTCTAAAAGGGCGGTATTAATCATGTGATGTCAACTGATCGTCAGGGGGAAACACCTCCTCTTTTAGAAGAAAAAACAACTCATAATCATAACAACGCTTAACGCTTTCCCGCAAGTGAGATATTATACGGAATATGAAACTAAACTAAAAAATGAAGAGCATGTAAACGCAAATTGCTCATCTGTCTTTACATTTAAACTACTAAATGCTAGTGGCAGCAGATTTTTATTGCGATCGAAATAGGAAGTTCGCCTGCTTATTCATTTAAAAAAAAAGAACACCAGGCACCGTCAGTGAATGTGATGATAATGCTACAAAAGTCGCGGCTTACCAAACAGTCCTTGTTTGAATGAACTCTGATGAGAAAGTGTCTTTGCAGACAGACTTGAAGAGAGGACAACACGTCCAGTTGAACAGTGAGGCTGCTGCTCCTTCTGTTCTTGTTGTTGTACGAACACTGACTGTACAGATGCCCCGCCCTGTCCATGTGTACGTAAACTAATGAATAGGAAGCAAAAAGAACTATACAGACCTATGGGCTAGTGGAAAATACATTATTTTTTTTAAAAACAAGACACTGGATTAATGTTTGATCCAACTTAAAACCAAAATTAAAAAGAGTGTTTTTAGAAACAAGCAAAGCAAGACAAAAAAAAAAAAAGCAATAGCCAACAACAATTTCTTCTTCTGTAGCCTAATGTTCTTAGAAGTGTCATTATTTGGGTTTCTAATTAAATCAGTGCTCTCAGAGTTTCTATTAAAGTATGTAGGCTAGTACATGTTGTCTATGTAAACATGTATCACAGTTTCCTGTCATAGTTTTTATTCATTGAAAGGCTACTTAAAATCACGAAGTGGTACTGGGTCTGTACTCAGTCAGAGGAATCATGTTAATCGGGTTGTTCACTTATGAAGAAAAAAATATATATTTTTGAGAAGACTTTTCTCTTATTCTGCAGCTTCTGTCTGATCAATGTGTTGGCTTGTGAGGTCAGCAGCTCATCGTAATGGAGCCAATTAGAAATGCCAGAGAATATATTGATTTCTTTTAATATTATCACATTTGAGTGCATGTAAACACAAAATTAACATAAAAATAATCGTGTTGATTGAGTCAAATAGAAAATCTCCTCAGAAAGTTTTTTATCAAACATGAATCCAGCGTCTTTTGATTTATTAAACATGATTCTTACATTATTAGAAGTTTTATTAACATCCATGTTTACACAGATGTCCCAACACAATTTTTTTTAATTTTTTTTTTTACAGTAGACAGTGTCCTTTAAACCCTGTATTTTTACAAGTGAATAACTCATTCAAGAACGGTCCTCTAACGCCACCATGTGGCCACCTACAAAAACAGCAGCCAGCACGAATGAACAGACTTTATCTGATGCAACTTCACTCAAGTTCATGAAAGTCAATCATTTGTTTTAAACAATCAGAAAGAACACTCTGATGTTTAATCGTTATTTTTTAGGTTGGGCATAAATATATATTATCTAAGGTACGAAAACACTTTTACTCTCCATTAGGGAGATGCTAAGGCCTAAAGTTGAGAACAAAAATGTGGAAATAATTAGTAATAGTTAGTAATTGAGTATTTGTCTTGTTTCACGTGTTTCTAGTGGTTCAATATTATTACATAAAGTGATTCCTTTTTCTATTTATAGTCTAACATTCATTGATAGTTGGGATCTTTATTCAGGGGTTAAAGAGACATGGGAGAAAAAAAAAAACAGCGGCGCCATTGTGCATCCCCCAGATCAAATCCTGACATGAAAAAGTGTGGAAAATTAAGACAGATGGGAGCTGAACGCTGATAACTTTATGATAAAGAAAAATGTGTTACAGTCTTGGCTGCAACCTCAGCTTTCCTTGTGTTTTCTTTAGTTTCGCCACCCCCCTCCCCCCTCCCCCTTGTGTCTGTCAGTCCCTCCCTGTCTGTCTGTGCTTGTCTGTGTGGCAGCCGTGGCTAATCACTCTTGCCTCACCTTTACAAGATTCTCCCCCTCCTCCTCCTCCTTGCTGCACACCTGCTTCCCATCCACAATCAAGCCTGCTGTGTTTAAAAAAAACAAACAAAAAAAACAGTCTTTCATCCACTCTTTGACAGATTGTCTGCTCACCAACAGTGGTAGTTTGACTCAGCCCTTAAGAATTCAAGTTTGTTTCACCTTTTTCAAAAGAGTAACACTCGTCTCTTTGTGCCAGATAGTGTTTTTCCCTGCCTGATTACCAGCAATTACTGCTTTCTCTTTTGGACAATAAACCCCCTTTAAAACCAGCTCCTGTGTTTGTTGTGTTAAACTTACGTGCAGCCTTTAGTTAAATCATAACAAAATGCCAAGCTTGGACAGATAGGCTACCTTTAAATAGATGTGTGTGGTATCATATATGTTACTGATCAGCTGATCTGTTTATGTGGGAGCAGACTAGAGCAGACATATGCAAAACATATCTGACACCATTAATGAGTACATAAAACAAAATAGGTGTGGATCCAAGTTGTAACATTGTAGCCTTAGTGCAACATCAGGCGGTCTCTTACATGCATTTTAACATGTTTGGGGTTTATCTGAAATGGAATCAAAACATAAAACTAAGGTGTGAAGCACCGCTGCAGCCCTTTAAACTATCTGATCTCTTATTTCTAAGATTAAAAAAGCCACTATTCTTTACTCCAGTAATGACATTTATCTGTTCCACTATTTTACTCCTCAAGACATTTCTTTTCACAGGCCAGTTTGAGTTTCGCCTTCTGTCTCTCCAGCTTGGTCATGCTCAAAAAAAACACTGAAATGATCTTTGCCTTCAATTTGGATTTCAAATGAATCTTGCGCAACAAAGCTTTCCCTAATCAGATTGGAGAGGGCATGTAGCGATAGACAATAGTCTTATGTCTTTTGTCTCAAAACCTATCATAGCGCTGCAGTGCTGTTGCTCTGCTCAGACATTGTAATTGTGGAGCCATGAAACTTGTTATTGGAGAGAGGAGCATGCATGCACTTTAATACAATGCAGGCCTAATGTTAAAGTAACACCTATTTTAAAAATAGGTTATATCTTTTGGGCAGAAAATATCCTGCCTGTCCTGAAATGGTATAAATATTTGGTCTTTCTATTGTAATTGTCTAAGAGGCCATAAATACTTTCTCTATTTAGGATTACTGATCAAATATTCCTTCACTTGGATGTTTGTCTGCAATATAAATGACCAAATATGACATTGACTTCATGACCGAGAATAGTTTGTAAGCTTTGAGCTATATGAAAACTTTTTTTTAATTCTACAGATGTTATATGCACAAAATTAAACCCGTATTGGGGTATTGGTTAAAACATTTTTTTTTACTATGTGTTGTAATTATAGAGCACGTTTGACATGGGATTCAGATTTATAAAAGATATAGTTGTCCTTGAAGACATCATCAGGTCTTTACAGTATATAAGACAGCAGCCATCCAGACACATCATTTTGACCTTCTTGACAGTGGCAGCACTGTGAGAGAGACAACTCAACAATCGCGAAGGAAGACTTCAGCTAGAGATATCTGTTCATCAGAGACAATCTGAGAACTATAACAGCAGCATTTCTTTTTGTCTAAGACAACCAGACAATGAGATGCAGCAACCAACCAACCCAAGAAGGAGCAAGAGGACCTTCAGACAGCAGGGCAATGGTAAAGAAATGGAGATTGAAAGACTCTGCCGGGATGTGAGGCAGCTCACTGAACTGCTGGAGAGAGAGAGAGGCAACACTGCTGCAAGGAGAGGAATGAAAGACTCCTGATCAACAAAGACTTGGAGGAGACCAAGCAAGACCTTGCAGAAATCCCTGGAAGAGATGTACCTCAACAAGGGGAAGGAACAAAAAGAGAGCTAGAAAAATACTGCAAAGAAGAGACATCTGCATTTAAGATCGCTCAGCAGGTGAATGACACCAACAGGCAGAAGAAGGAACATCTTCATACTGACTACGAGGAGCTAAAGGTGGCCCACTTAGTTGGCATTGAGAAGTTCACTGCAGACCTCCAGGGTAAGGAGGAGGAAAACAAGGCCCTTCAGGCAGAGGTAGGCAACCTAAAAGTATCACAGCATGAGCTCAAGCTTAAATATGAAGCTGACTAGCTCACTGCCAATCAGCTGGTGGAAACCCTTCAGCGTGAAAATGAACCGCATAGTCAGGCTCACGCAGAAAGAATGTCCCAAGACCAGCAGCTGATTTGGACCTTGAGAGCTGAGCAGAGGAGATTGCTGCCCTGCAGCACGCTGCTTTTGAGAGGGAGACAAAGTTCCAGACTGAGCTGGATGCCCTTAAAAGTCAGCTCAGCAATCAAAAAGCCATTGAGCTGCAAGTGGCTTACAAAACCAGCCAAGACAAATTTACAGTTGAGCTCCAGCAGGAGAAGAGCAAGACCCTGCTTCCCCAACAAGAACAGGAGAAGTCACAGCAGGCTGAGAACCATCAACAAGAACTTGAGATGGAAAACAAGTCTCTCTACAATACAGTTGCAGAGACCCAGGTTGTCATCTGGAATTTGAATGCTGAAAAGGGTGCCCTCCAGCAAAAGGTGGAGCAGGAGATCAGTGGGCTGCAGCAGATAGTCATGGAGAAGGAGAGCATTCATCGTCAAGAGGAGGAAGGGCTGAAAACACAGATCACCCTTCTGATCTCACAAAACATGGAGCTTTCCAGTGAACTGGCTCAGAGGGACGAATGCATGCCACCAAGAAGAAAGAGAGCCAGCCGTGAGGAGACACGTGATGAGCTGTCATGCATGGAGGTGACCATCCCCTATGCTGCTGCTGCGGAAACTCCTGGAACTGTTGGACCTGCAGAAGCTGTACAAACTACAGGATCTCCGGTAGGTGCAGGAGCTGCAAAAACATCGCAGATGGAACCAGTGGAGGAGGGGGCAGCAGCGTCTGAAGACACGACTCCAGAAGTATCAAAGCAGGATGAAACAAGTCAGACACTTCCTGGGGCTGAGAAAACCTGAGAAGTGGAAGAAAAGGAATGACGCTTCTTCCTCCGACCCTCCCTCCTCCACCCCAAACCTAACACCCCAAAACCAATAAACCTTTTTCACAGCTGACATTTTGATTTACCAAATGTAGGTTTATTTAAAACATGAAAAAAAAAAAAGTTCATGTCAACTGAGGGGCATGGTGGTTGCAGTGGGAACTTCCTGTGTGGAGTTTGTGGTTTGTGTCTCCGGGACACTCGGGTTTCCTTCCTAGTATCAAGTCATATATTACAAAAAACAATTACTAACAGTTTGCTTTGAAAGAGCATATAATCTCTTCAATAATCTTCAACATGGGCAGCCTTAAAACGAGCTAATATATGAGAGGAATAATGGAGACCTGTACAAATAAATGTACAAAGTTAGAAAAGAAGGCAATGTAGGGAGTCATAGGATAGACTTTATTATTTACAGTCTATGAGTCATACACTGAACAAAC